TGTGGCAACTTGCAATCAACACCCTGTAAGGAGTCCTAGTATATATATAGTTAGTTTTATTTATTTGCATTTTTATTCAAAATTATAATTTCATTTCAATGAACAACATTGATCAAACTAGCTTATACATAACTTATTGAAACTAACTTGTATACTAGAATGACTTAATTCAATTTTTTTTTCAGTTTCCTTACTGTATTTTTAATTGTTAATGATGTTTTTTTTTTTTGCCTCTTCTAATTTGTAGGATATTTTTTTTCTTCTCTCTTCTATTTTATAGGAATTATAATGATGACAAAGTTCTAACTTCTAATATAAGACTCTATGTATATTATTCAAATTTTCTACCGTGCTAGTGAACTCTAACAACAATATGTGTTTAGTAAAAAAAAAAATTGAAATAGAAAGAGGAAGAGAAAAGAAAAAAGTGAAAAGAAAGAGAAGTATATAATAGAGTGAAAAAAGTCAACTCTATGCATAGGAAAAGTTACAATTTTTTTTAGGTTAATTATTTGTTTTTTAAAAAAGGAAATAAAAATTATTATATAGAAATTTTCTTAAATTTCATTTAATAATAATAATAATAATAATAATATAATATAATATAATATAATATATCAACGGATTATGGAAATTAGAGAGAAATAGCCATAATCGATTATGACAATTGGGAGAGAGCTTAACCGATTTAGGAATTGTGGGGAGGAGAATAATCAATTCTATTCTTTTGATGTCTAGGAGCAACAGAAAAACTTTGCGATTTCGTTCTTTGTATTTCTTAACCATCTTGAGAGAAAGTATAATACATGATCCAACAGATATTCTCAAATATTTTCTCACACTTTCACTCTGTCAAACAGATAAAATTCGTATACTTTCTTACATTTTCACACTCTTCGTTTCATCTTTACTTTATTTTATTTATAACAAACACAATGTAAAAATTTGCGATAAAAGTCGATATAAAACATATTGAAGTGAAACTAAATAACATATTGAATCATTTAATTAAACTGTAATTATTATTAATCGATTTGAATTCAAAGCAAAACTATGATTGGATGAGTGTACCGTACGGGATTGATTACAAAGAGAAAAGAGAAAGTTTGGGCGCTCAAGTACTCATGAGTGGAAGAATATTCAAAGAGAAGAGGACAGTGAATAGGATATGGGTGTAATCTCCTCGTACTGTTATGGATCGACCACAATTCATATGGGAAAAAGGTCAGTGTACATGGATGAGAAGAATCTTGGTCTAGAACCAAGTTTATGGCAGTTTGCACCTTTACAACGTACGAGAGAAAATAAGAGCATGTGGATAGAGATTTTGTATGAACAAGAGAAACTTGTACATCAACATTTTATGATATGATTATGGTTTAAATTTCATGTCATTGGTACGACACTGAAAAGCGTCAAAACAATGTATCAGGCTTCTTGCTTTCGTCATCAACAGTCTTGCTTGAGCTGGTTTTGGAGGGGCTCATATTCACCCACGTAAACGTAGTTAGTATATATATGGCATGCACATGATCCAAATCCATATATTAATTGTGTGTGCAGACAAGAGAATCTTCCAAATTAAACAAGGTTAGCTGTATAGGAATTCTAACGAAATTATTCCCAAGTTAAGCAACTACATTCCAAAACCAACCAATCAACATCTTTTCAAACAAATGTTGTGTTTCATTCGGATGCTTCTTAATTTCTCTTAAATTACCGTTATTGAAGATGCTTGGTTACGCACACAGTTATTAAAGTAGTCTTTTTGTTATTTTTGTCGTATGTTATATGCATATAATGTAAAGTGATAATTTCTCATTCAGGTTTTGTGGCTTTTCTTTTACCAATGAACTTCCTTAATTACCCCATAAAATTATGACACTCCTCAAACCTCCCTGACCTTATCTTCAACTAGCTAGAAGCCAGTTTTTGACCATCATATGTAGAGAGAGTAGAGACGCTTTTTGTCATGGCAACACTCAGGAATGAAGTGCTGTATTTGTTTTGTGTTGCTTCACTGTTTGACCTTTGTAATATGATGGTGCTTCGTTTGTATTGTCCTCCTGCATTCACAATGCATGGGTGTATGGCGATTTGAGAAAGTAAAATGATGATTCATGAGTCCTTTGGCGTGGAGAAATTACAGGGTTGCATTTAAGTGAGGATTCCGGGGGAATTTTGTTGACTTTTCTTAACTTGACTATTATATATAGGTACAGCTACACTTTATAACACTGTAGTATAGGAAAAAACACTACTAGAATTTCTCTTATTACATGCAACTTTTCCTGCGAATTTTTTATAAAAATTTGCAGGAAACGTTGTTCCTGCAAATTTTTCTGCGAAATTTTATTTGCAGGTAATACCTTCGTGGATAATATATTTTTGCGAATTTTAAAATTCGCAGGAAATTTTCCTGCGAAATTTCCTGCGAAAATTCGCAGGAAATTTTCCTGCAAAAAAAAATTTGCAGGAAATTTTCCTGCAAAAAAAAAATCGCAGGAAAATTCGCAGGAAACTTTCTTGCGAATTTTTTCGCAAGAAATTCTGCAGGAATATTTTTTACGAAAAAATTAAAAAAAATTATTATAAATTCTATATTTTAAGAATTCATAATCTTTTATTTTAATGCCTCATACATAATCTTTTAAATTCTAAGATTGTAGATTACAAGTCTAACACTCAACCATACAATTCAACTTGTAAGGTAAGTGTTATTCCAACTTATATACTCTTTAATTGTTTTATTTTCAATCGATGTGGGACTTGAAGATTTATTAAAATATTAATCTTATTAATTTAAATATATTTTTTATTTTTCCTGCGAATTAAAATTTGCAAGAAAATCCGCAGGAAAAGTTACCTGCAAAATTTTTCTACCATTTAGTAAACATTACTTGCAAATTTATTTTTGCAAGAAAATCTGCAAGAAACAAAATAAAATTCTTACAATATTTTCTGCAAATTTTTACCATGAAAATTTTTTTTTCCATGATTATTAAAATTGTAGCAAAATTTGTAAGAAATATCTGTAAATTATTTTTTGTAGGAAAATTCGCAAAAAATTTCTGCGAATATTTTTTTGTAGGAAAATTCGCAAAAAATTTTCTGCAAATATTTTTTTGCAGGAAAATTCGCAAAAATTTTCTGCAAATATTTTTTTGCAAGAAAATTTGCAAAAAAAATAACACTTTTCTAGTAGTGAAAAAATAAAGTGAAAATTGAATTTATTTAGAGAATATGTTATAGTTGGTTTTATATTAAATTAAGTTACTTAATTACTCTTTAATAAAAAATTAAAGTAAAAAATTTAATTTAACTTAAATAGTATATATTAGCGATTTGGTTTGAATTCGTTCCACATTTTCAATTACTTATTGTGACACTTTTCAATTTTTTGTTTAGGTGTTAAATTGGTAAATCCTAACATCCATCTTTTCTCAGAAATTACTTTGTCACAATTCTACTTTTTTTTCCTTTCCAAACTTGCAAACTTGATGTGTTGTTTTTCTTGAGAGTTGTTGTTACTTTTTATAACTTAAGCAATTCACATCTTCAGATGTTATCACCGAGGGTTTGTTTGAATAATTTTTTTTACGAAAGAAAAATGGGAAAGAAAACCATTTTTATTCATAAGTTAAATAACTTATGTGTTAAAACTAAAATTTTAGAAAAAATAATATGAGAAATTTTTTTATAAAATAGCTTATGCGTAAATTATATTTAACTTACAATGAAAAAGAAGTTTATTTCATTTTTTCTTATTATATTACTCTCTTGGAAGTACTTCTAATAATAAAAAAATTATTCAAATTGACTTTAAATAGATTCCACAATTAATCCCAGGTCTTTAAATTTATACTTTTTTCGTAAAAAATCATCCACACGGGACCCTCAACAATTGTTTTTCTATTGTATAAATTTTATTTAAAAAATGTAAGCACTATATAAGTGATTGGTGCTTAATAAGCTTTTCTCATTTAGGCATTCCAACAACTGAACTTAATAAGAATAAATCTTATTAAGCTTTTTCTTTATTGAGAACACATTATCATAATGTATTCTTTAATTTTCAGCACTTTTTTTAGTTAAAATTTATTAAAAATTACAAAATCATGAGAGAATTCTTTAAATGTGGTGTAAAACTTTTAAAATTTAATAAATTTTAACTAATAAATGAGTGTATGCATTAAAAAAAAAAAAGTATTAGAATGTCTTAACAATTCTGTTTTAATTAGTAACGAAAGAAAATCTTTGAAGGAAGAATAGAGATATTATGTTGCAACAATGATAGACCTATTTTAAAGGGCTACACAAGTTGACCAATACTTTTGTAGGCCCATATGCAGTTGTAACTAATAGTTATTAGTTATTTTTTCCTTTTTGTTTTTATCTTATTTTTTAATAGAGGGATTGATGATGAGATTGTTAAACAACTTGCAAATCATCATACCTGTTGCAGCACTGTTCACATATTTGTTTTTTGAGGGAGTTTAGCTGCATCTGTACAGTTATAATTTAATTGATATATAGATTAGGAGTGGGTGAATCTAGCTAAACCAGACGAAAGGAAAGGCCAAAAATGACAACATGCACATATGCTGTGCTAGTATATATACAAATAACCGTACCACAAGTTAAACTATCACTTTCTTTCTCATAAATGTTCAACCACAACTGACCTGGTCGTTATTCATTGTTGGTTAACTGGTTTAACTCTCAAACGATATCCATCCACTCCAATAACTTTCAAGTATTCGTGCATGTTGATAAAGTTCTGAGGCTACAAAGTAGCAGATACTAGATAGTGACCCTTTTCTGGAGGGGTACCCAACAAGGGTAGGGGTCCTTCGATGCTGGCTTGTCTACATGCAAGTCACTGGGAGACAAATATGCCCCAGAGACTAATCATTAATCCCACACCGTAGTCACCATTATTTGATTTTAAAGCACGAGACCATTATATATCAAATCTTAGGTAAATTTATTTATTTATTATCTTCACCGCAGGCACAAACACATGGGTTTGCTTTCGTAAACATGTCACCTTCTTCCGAATGTGCATTATTCTAATAATTGGTCTTCTAACTGCTCGTGATTCCAAGTACATACCCTGCCAAACGTTTATATGTATACGTATCTCGATGCATCATTAGTCACAATTGGATCTGGTCTACTAATTATTCATCGTGTTTCGGTGTGCCTCAGAAATGGCGAACCAAGAAAAGCAACAAAAGAGAGGGTTCATGTATATTTACAAAGGTGGCACGGGAAACCAGAGGAAGAAAGAGTTGGAGCATGGTGTGGGGCAGGAAAAGAAATCCAATGCACGCAGTTGGTTGCACAGGATATCGAGGACGAAAACTTTTAATGGTGGCCATGGACAAAGAGACTTAGACATTGGAGGGGAATTTGTTGAGGCCAGGAAATCAACTTCTTGCTTAGAGTTAGGGTCACCAGCAGGAGGATTCGTTGAGGGAAGAAAATCGGTATCTTACACAGAGGCAGCAGCATCGCCAGCAGTAATAAGAGGAGGCATAGTTTTTGAAGAGGAGAGAAAATCAGCGTCCCACATCGAGAAAAGCTTTGCCGCTGGAGGAATGGTTGAGGCACGCAAGTCGGTGTCCCACATCGAAACATTCTCCTCTGTGGCTGCTTATCTTCAAGTGAAGGTTTTGGTCTCAGACATGCCAAGTTTCATGCAAGTGCATGCCTTTCGTTGCGCGAGAAGAACATATGATAGCTTGGAGAAGTTTAGCTCTAAACACATCGCTCATAACATAAAGAAGGTACGCTTTAATTTGATCTCTCTGTTTTATGATCATTGAACTAAGTTGCTACGTGTTACTTAATTTCACTTCATCAACATTAATTCTCAAGTTATGGTCTTCTAGGGGCATAGAGATGATATTGTTAGTTAAATAACTGTGACACAAAAGCCAGAACGATGATTGAGATTATTTTCTGGGTGTTCTTTTTGGAACTATGCTTCTTGGATGATTGAAATTTGTTCAAATTCAATGAACCCCACAGAAGAATTAATGATGAAAAATGACTAGACGAACCATGTGTTGACATTTTGTGTCCCTCTTCCTTTCTTCTTTATTGGATATGATATTTGAATCTGATCCTGTACAATTGAGATCACTCTGGATCTATTGATCTATTGATCTTGACCGTCCACAAGTTAACACCATTAAGTCGAGTCTCCTTGGTCAAGATCAAATCTTAATTACAGAATTCTTCAACAGCCATGTGTTAAACCCATATTACCCCTAATATTATACCTAATCTAATCATTGACTATTTTTTTCTAGGAAAAAAGGTACTTTTCAATTAATAGTGTTATTTATCTTACACAGAGCCTAAGCCATGTGCACAGCAGAAACAGGGTTGGTTTATTTATCTATATATTTGGTCAGCTAGATCTATAAAATATACTGCTTCCTTCTTCTTTCCTTTTTTTTTTTTTTTTGTTCAACAGATGATGAATTTATTTATTTACGATGTATTCGTGGTGTGTTCATGTGCAGGAATTTGACAAAGCTTATGGTCCGGTCTGGCATTGCATTGTAGGGTCAAGTTTTGGTTCATTCGTGACACATTCAACGGGGTGTTTTCTTTATTTTTCAATGGAAAATATATATATTCTACTGTTCAAGACCAAAGTTAAGAAGGCGTTGGATTAAGGTACATATAATAATTTATACATATAAGATTTAGCAATGGCCTTTTTATGCTGGCAAAATTTGTATTCACTGTTCAGATGTCTTGTCTGTACATGAAAATTTAAATGTAATCAAGTTTCATTCATACAAATCCACATATCCTCTTTTAGTATTTTAAGTGTGACATTAGTGATAGCATAAATTTTGGAATCTTTTACAACTGGGTTTCATTAATTTTCTCATAGGCTAGGAATGTGAACCCAGCTCATTCGGTATTTTCACAAGTTTAAGTAATAAGAGAAATAACTAATAAGCAACCTTCAAATGATTCATGTTTCGCTCGGCTTTCAATTTTTCTTTTATAACTTTTTTAACAAATGTTCATTGTTTTTTAACAAACTCGCGAAGGAGTGTTAAACCTATATAGTTGTTTTTGTTAATGATAATCTTATTTGTTAGTGTCTCATTCAAATATCTACATAATTTACAATTATATTTTAGTTTTTTATAAGGACCATTTTATTAAAAGGAGAGTCTTATTGTAATAAATTATATAATTAATAAATTTATTATAAAATATATTAATTTAAAAAAAATTATGGGAGTGAGAATAACTTTTACCTACACGTACGTACCTATCACTACGGATCAGTTGGATTCATAAATAAGAGAAGATAAGGCAGCCTTAAAATTATGAAAGCTATTGGTCCCCCATCCAATCAAAGAAAGATTGATTAAGGTTTCCGGCACCAAAAAGAAATAGTATATCACAATATAAGAGTGAGGAGAGATAGGATCAAGTTATTATAGCTTTGCACACATAATTGTTTATATGATAAATGTTATTTTAATAAAAATAGATTATTACGCTGATTAGTTTATATTTTACGTGCTAAATGTGTATTATATAAACTAAGTTTTATAATAAATTATATATAAATAGCTATTTTTAAAATAATAGATTTACTCGTTTCAAGAATAAGTTTGTATTGATTTACTCAACTCACTAATTTATATTTAATATGAAATTTTAACAATTTAATAGTTGAATTAAAAAATTTTAATGTAAAAATTAAGTTTGTAAATTTTTTAAAAATTTGAAAAATATTTGATACTTTATTTTTTTAATTCAAATTAATGGATAGAATACTTCTACGATTATTCGTCAATTTGAATTAAAAAAAAACTAAATACTAAATAGTTTTAAATTTTTTTAAAAATTTACAAATTTGGTATATGTATAAAGAATTTTTAATTTAATAATTAAATCATTAAAATTTGATATAGGACATAAATTATTTAACAAAGTAAGTCTAAGTAGACTTACTTTTAGAATAAATGAATCTCTCCTTTATTTTAAGTATATAAATTATATTTTAAATTTAAGATAAAAATTTATATTACAACACAAGATTATTTTTAATTATTTATTATTTATTTTAAAAATATTAAATTTTACTTCATAAATAAATATGATAAATAAAATTGAATTAAATAAAAATTAAAAAAATTAAAATTTATTTTTTATTCATTTATTTTTGTGGATTTGCAATTTCAGTTTTTTTTTTTTTTAATTTTAAAAATAGAGACATTTAATCCTATATTTTTTAAAATATAAAATTTTGATCCTATTGTAAACTTAATGTTTGTTAATCGTTAAATTTTAATGTTATTTGATGATTTATTAACATTAAAGTGGTATAATATTTAATGACTTGATATATATAGATAAATTTTTTTAAAAATAATATATAAAAGATTTTTTGTTTTATTTCTAAATGTCACATTACTCAAATATGAATAAACATTAAAACTTAAGAATTAGTATATGTCAATTTGACGAGAAAAAATCAAAAAATTTCATAATTTTTAAACTAAAGAGATTAAATGTCTCTATTTTAAAATAGAGAGACTAAAATTACAGATGGATGAAAATATAAATACTAACAGTATATATAATTTAATCAAATTAAAAAAATTTCTAAAAACGTTATCGTCAAAGAATAATCTTTAAAAATATTTTTATAGAAAATAGTTGTTCATATTTAATATATCATAATTAATGTATGGAAAATATAATTAATGTATTGAAAATGATAAAATTTTACAAGTCCTACTTTTTATTTAGAATATGTTTGTGAAAACATTAAAATTCAAATATGATTGGATCCGATTGAACTTGCCGTTAGTCGCCAGTTATTATGAGACTTTTAAAATGAGACCTAAACTTGTTAAAAGTTCAATTGTTATGAAATTTTTTGTTCAAGTCTTTGTTTGGACATTAGGTAAAAAAACGACTTAGACTTAATTTGTGCTCCAAATTTAAAGTTTAATACCAACATTTTATCGAGCTAGTTTAGCTTGGTTGGCCTCATACATTTTGCTACAACTATTAAAAGACTAAATGAAAAAAAAAAAAAAAAAA